CACTTGCATAAGGTTCAAGGTTTTGATAATGTCTGACTATGAAAGTTTCCTAATGAAAGCATTCCGAATAATAAAAAAAAGACTTTTCTATTTGAAAATTCCCCTCACATCCTCCATCACCGAAGAATTACACAAAAACACACTTCAGAAAAAAAAATCAACTTAAAAAATTTTCAAATTGGCCATCAGTTGTATTGAAACATAAGAATTGTGAGAATTGAAATTTTAAATTCCATTTCCCTCAGTTACTGCCCAAACAATTCTCTGAAAGCATTAATTTAGTCTTATTCTTTCATCTGGTCAAACTGGTTTCTAAAAAAAAAAATATTATAGTTCAATGTAATTGGTTGGATAAATTTTAACTGTAGGATTTTTATTTTAACGAAAAAGGTAAAGATAACGAACAGTGATCAATCCAAAAAAAAAAATCTACAAACAATACAAATTTGTGAACAGGGCATAAAACACGGACCTCCGGAAATTCCAGAGATGGGATTTGGTGCCTAGGAGGAGTAAGCATCCCTTATTGACCGATCACACCCGCCGTGAGCCCTGTGTATTGATCAGGTAGACGGAACATACTCACCAAATGGTATGTGGAACCAGTCTAAACTATCAAAAATGCAATATAGATTTAAGAACTTTCTCACACACTATTTGTAAAAAGCACCGATCTATAGATAAAATACCAAGCCGGTACAGGGCAAACAAATTAATTTTCTATAAGGATGGCATGTTCTAAATTTTAAAATTCGTGAACAAACAGGTACTACTGCGTCGATAGAGGTGTTGAGACATCGAGTCTTACGGTATTTTACAATTTCTTAAAATTTTGGGATTAGGCTCAATGATTTGAACTATATATTTAAAGATTTCTTACTAGATTTCAACAATTCTTGAGTAAAAAAATATCAAATTTCCATTAAAAATTCAGTTGAAGTTCATATTTAAGATTAGCCAAAATATTATCGATATGATTTTATCATTGATAAAATACCTGGTAGGAGAAATTCCACACTGAAAAAGAAAGGGGGAGAATTTGGCTCTAGTGTGAGATTTCCCCTAGGAGGGAAGTCCTACTCTAAACTACAGATTCGGGGGAGATAGCTATGTGGAAAAAATGTACTGTACAACTATATATCTGAAAAGTGGTGTAAATCTGAAGTGGATACTTGAAAACTCCAAGGAACTTTAGGAAATTTGAAATCACAAACTTTTACCAAACTCATAACAACAAAACGTATGATTTTTCAATACTTTGTATAACCAATCCCCGCGATAAATTTAAGTCCAGGCATCATAGACAGCTACTTTTTTCAATAAAAATCGTACTCGAAAATTTATCAACCTTGTCATTGGTTATTTGCAAAAGTATTGTGTTAAAAACATTCTGACTGTACACACAAGTGCTCTGAAGTAGATATTACAAAGATTCTTGAGTTTCTGATTGACTATATATATATGTATAGTTTTTGGAGATCAGGTCTTCCAGCAATCCGTCGGAATTTCCATGGGTACCAATTATGCCCCGTTAATAGCAGACCTATTTTTGTATTCATATGAAGCAGACTTTATTGAAAATCTTATACATGAGAAGAAGACATTTGCCGTGGCCTCCAACTGGACATTTGGATATATCGACTACTTATTATCAATTCACAATACTTCCATCCATATGTCAACTCGATGTATCCCAGTGAACTTGAAATAATAGCTACCATAGAGTCTAACTCAAGACGTTGATGGTAACCAAACAACAGAACTTCATGATAAATCTAATGACTTCAACTTTTCTATCGTCAACTTACCTTATGTAGCAATATACCCTTATCACCTGCATATGGGGTTTATATCTCCCAGTTAATTCCATACGCAAGAGCATACTCCACGTACCAACAATTTCTAAAACAAAGCAAGCTATCGACAAACAAGTTGATGGGACAAGAATATAAACTCTCGTTTAAAGTCATCATTTTGCAAGTTCTATGATCGATACAATGACCTTATTAGCAAATTAATCTATTAAGTCGAATACTGACCGACGTTTTTCATACTAATTGTTAGGACATTAATTAAACAATGAATTGTCTGCGGATTTTTCCGTTTGCCCGACCATGAATGAGCACAAGGCGGGTGTGACTGGTCGACAGGGATGCTTATTCTTTAATGGCACCTGATCCCACCTCTGATGTTTTTAGAGATCTGTGTTTGCTCTTTTCCCGATTTGCATTGTTTCAATGGACTTTTGATGTTGATTAATGTTCGTTATCTTTATATTTCATATAGATATAGACAGACAGTAGAATGTTTTCTTTGTTCATTTACTCTGGGAACAATAGTTGCAATAATTGCAGAAAAAATTAACATAACTGCTCACAAGCACTGTGTATTGTGTATCTGAAATGTTCCAACTATTATTCCTTATATTAAAAAATAAAGCATTTTATGTTAAAATATTTTCGGAATAAAGGCAAAAAAAAAATATTTTCGTATTTTGTCATGAACGTGGTTACCTTTTAAGAGTTCGGAGCTCACATGGGAGTAAAATACACATGAATGCTGCAAATGTGTATGTGTTACCAGACAAATGTACAAAAGCCAAAGAAATGCTGATATTCTTGGATAAAAAAGGAAATTCATATTCACATAATGCTTAAAACATACAAGTTTTAAGAGCTCTAAGAGAAATGTGTGTTCAAGCAATTTTTCCTTTCGTATCTTGTCAGTGTCTGAATCATCGCAACAGTATACTTTTAATTAGTTCCACATTTGTGATAATAATACAATGTACGTAGGAATAAAAGTAAAAGTAGTATGTAAATGTAACTCCATTTTGTTTTTAAAACAAAAAATTCCAAATTTACTAATTTGTAAAGAGATTTTATTGGATATCGTATAACAGTCATATAGTGACAAATACAGCAAGTTGGATGGTAATGTATGAACATTTATATTATTTCTTCTCCAAATGTTACAAGTTAGCTGAATTCTTCTTTCACTTGCTAAAGGAACTTTATTAGTTTTGAATACATTTTCTTTTCTACAATCTTTCATCTGATGAAGATAATTATTACACTCAACTTGAGTGTGATTTTATTTAAATTGAAACTGTTGTATATATTTTCCCCCTTAGTTGTCGTAGACGCATCTAGTGCTTTAGGTAAATGGGTTTAAATCAATTAAGTTATTATGAGAATATATAGGTACTAGTATTTGAAGAGATGAGAACATTTGTATATTATGATTAATAAAGTGATGAGTTAATCTGATAACAAAAAAAAAACAAAAACAAAAACAAAAAAAAAAAAAAAAAATTGATGAACATGGACTATTCATAATGTATAATACTTGCCATTTGAAATACCATGTTGAAACTGTTTCAAGTATTTGTGGATATATTTTTTAAAGAAGCTGCGACTTTAAATAAATAAAATGTTTAAAGATAATCAGTACATGCACAAAAAAAAAATCATTCATTAATTTGTAGAAAATACTACCTTTTCTAAAAATCTCAACAACTTGCACTCTAGTTTTTACGGTGCATCTTTTCTAAAGGTGTACCGAGTAATGATTTATATCGAATATTCAACATTTTGTTTCAATCTTTTATATAAAAGTCACTTTAAACAACCTTACGTTTACAATTGCAGGTTTTAATGTTTTTTTTATCTTCCAATATCACAATTTACTAATTCTGTTATTCTTTTTTAATTTCTTGATGGTTCCCCACTTAAATATACTCTTTTGCTAGAAGACCTTTCTTTACGTATACCCCACTAAAAGGCACAGTCTAATTGGCGCTGATGACATCATTTCCAGCTGTAAAAGGATAATCTTTATAACACTATATACACCGACCAATTAGAAACAGTTGTAGCTGAGAGTATTTGTAAACATTATTAGGAGGTGAAATTAAAAATAAAGAAATCGATGGGATATGATCGTCAGATATTTCCGAATCCAACCGCGAAATAAAGCCATTTAATGTAGGCAGTCACTTGGACAGTCCTGGCTCAATTGATACAATACAAGCTTATTTGGTGCCACAAAGCAGTAGAAATTGCTAACAAAAATATTCAATTTTGCAGTCCTATTGTTCAGTCTCTACGATTCCAAAATTTATTATTGTTACTTACAAAAACACTTGGTATCCTGCTGGAGATGAAATGACTTTTTGTATAGATTTTTTTTAGCGAAGTCGACCCGGGTATATTAATTGTACAAGGTTTTGCCCAAATCAAATATCAACAATTTGAAACGATCTGCAAATAAGAAAGCATTCTTTTAATTGGTTGGTGCATTGTTTGTTTTTGTACCTCACAAGAACAGGCCAGGATGTATGTACGATGGGTAATATTTGACATTGGAATAATTCGATTTTTCTTGGCATGGAAAATGACAAGCATTTAACAACACCTTAAAAGACTGAAACAATTTTGTCTGCTTACCGTTGTAAATTCCCTTTGAAATCCACCAAGTATCAATGTGTGAATACATGAGACAGGAAGTTTCAGCGAATCTTCTACAGCTAATAGCCTTGATAGAATAAAGCAGATTGATTTTTAAGGCTGTTGGTAGAGACAAGCAGTGTATTGACAATCCTCATTTAAAACTAAGAAGTATCCGAACCTCGAAGATGATGTTAATTCAAACATAAAAATTACGTAGAGAAAGAGCAGGCGTTCTAATGTAAGGTAAATACCATTCAGTGTTATTCCAGAAAGGACTTTAAATTTCATTGATTCTTGGAGGTACAGACGTGTTACAAATTAGAAATCCATTAGCAGTTTCTTCGACGTGTTGCAGAGAAAAACAATATCAAAAACCAAAATAATACATCGAATATATGTGCTTTTATTTTATTGTTATATCGATACTTATGTAATTAACTGATACACTGCATAGGAAAGGTGACTTGGCTGGCGACAACGTTTGGGTGCTTTTAACTTCTTTTGGCTGCAACTGATTTGCGCTGGAACCATCGAGAGGAAAGAAAAACAAAAAAAGCTAAGTCTGGTGACATCGCGGGGCTTCTTTCCAACTGTGTAGGAATCAATACAGAAAGCTAGAAACGGGAGTATATTTCATACGTTCCAAATCTAAAAACCTGAGACCTAAGTGTGAGTGGAATAGACAAGTAGAGGCGGACCGCATATCTCCAATTTTATTGGATAATGCATGTCATACGTCATTCATTAAGAAAAAAATTCAAAGGTTCTGATTGCTCTAAGCTTATTTAAAGAGCGAAGCTTCAAAATCTCAGTTGTTTGTTTTGGAAAAATGTACCCAGCATCGGAAACTATTAACCGGTAGCCTACTGTAGGCAATTAGTAATTTATTTATATATTGACCGCTAATAAGAGCATTCAGATTTGCTGTCTTGATTATAAAGTTCATAAGCGAGAGACGCATTGTTTGTCCGAAATCATATGAATCCATCTAGCAACATATTCATGAAGACTACACAATGGAAAGTTGTAGTAAGGATGTAGGATTCCAGGGAGCTCTTTTAACAGTCCTCTTGCTTCTTGCAGGTAAGCCAATTTTATTACTTACCTGAAGTTTTATTGATTTGCATATATTTTCCTTATAAAGAAGCTATAAAACTTTGACTTAACAATAACTTTTATTTGATATCTTAATTATTGACTATGCAGAGTTATTATAGTATTGCATAGTATAGTATAACTGAAAAATGACAAATTTGTGATGTCCGGTGCTGTAATTTTGAGCCGTAGAAGCGGAGTAGCGTCTCAAAAAACTCTAAGAGAGACAGTTTAATGGCCTACTTCAGATGTTAAGAATCGCACTTCATAAATTTGACTTTATGACATTCTTCAAACAGAACTGCTGCCTGTGATCACTGCTCCAAGTGGATATATCAATATTCTGAATAGTGAATGTCAGAAAGAGCTCTCTGGCTCAGCAAGGTAGTTTGTTACTCGATCACAATAACATTGGTTGTGCAACACTTGTGTTTATCATGATTTCCTTTAAAACTTTGATCTTATTAGCGGAGAAGTTAAAGACACTGTTAAAGTTAAAGACACAGTCCTTTCCCTCTCATTAAGAACAAATGATACAAACAAATTTTTGTCAAAATATTTGAAAATAACAACTTGAGTCATGTTTATATGAGTAAAATGAACAAGTTTTACCGCGTAGTTTTTTATTTTTCATTCAAAGTTTCACAATAACGGGATTTGATGTGAAAAATATTTGTATAGATTAATAAGGATGGTTGCAGGAAGGTAGAATTTTGAACATCATAGAAGGTTTACAATTTCTTAATATTTAAGAAATTCATTATTTGCATCATTTGCAACAAAAATAAGCCCAAAAATGTATACCAATCCAGGCATCCATTTTTTTTTGTTTGTATCATCTGTCCTTAATATGAAAAGATAGTCCATGCAAGTGATACAGTAGGTTATGAATATGTATAAGACCAAACCTTTCAAATACAATACTGGTATTTTTTAATATTTTCTAGTTTATACTTAGTCAGAATTAAATCCATGAAGCAACATTATATGTTGATTCATCATCGATAAAAGATGTTTAAACTCGCTGAATATTTCAATGCTGTCCTGTCAATGGTAATTTGCATTATGACACCTTTCTTTGCATACAAAAATGCAATAGTTAAATCTGGCTTTAAATAAACCATGTATTTTTAAAAACTGTGTGCTGGATGAATTATAGTCAATGTAAGAATATAAGGTTAAGTCGAATAATTCTTGTGATGTGAATTCAATGATATAGCAAATCCTTTTAAGATTTAATTATTGAAATTAAATTAATTTTATCAAACAGAATCTTTTCTCATATGTTTGTAGTCACACCAAAGTGGCTTCTAAACTTCTATTTAAATGATTATACCTTACAGATTCTATTTGCTATGTGCTATGTTTGTATTTAAATTTAAGGCAAATTCAATTTTTGATTAGATGACAATAACCAACAAAATACAAAAATATATAATACTGCTTTTTGAAAACCTTTATATATACTTCTTATGAAATCTAAACAGAATGGATTAATAAAAACACATTTCAGTGAAACGTAGAGTCAAGATTTCTATATCTTTTATGTGTGTAAAATTTTAAAATTAAAAGTAGCAGTGGGAAAACAAGATTTTGAATTATTTTGATATTTTGATTTGAAAAATTGTCCACCCACATAGTAACAGATTTATAATGTACAATCAGTATTTTACACATAATAATTCACACAACAATGTCCTTGTTCGGACTTTTGAATGCCATTTTTGATGATAGTTATGCTTGGGTCAAAGAACGAAAAGAAACCTATTTGCAGACACATATGAAGATTTCATGCAAGTTGCGGAGAGATTTGAAATTTATCCTTATTACAGCAAAATACATGTACATTAAGTGGCGAACACATTGAGTAGAATATCATAAATTCGTATCTTAATCATAATAAAAGATAATAATCCGACAACAATTTTAATGAGAATAAAAGAAATGATAGAGGTTTGTGTTCCATGTTGGCATATTGAAACGCAAGCAAAAAGAGTTTTTTCTTTCTTGAACTTATTCATGCGTTGATAAACAGATAAATTTGTGCCGAAATGGAATTCATTTGAAAAGGAAATTTATTTCTATTCTGTGCATATTTAATTTCAAATCAACAAAAAGAACTAATTACTATAACCATAAATTGGGTTAAATACTATGTTATGCATAGCAATGGTTTACATAAAAAGGATCAACTTTTTCCAACCAATCTTTGTGTTTGATATTACGGTATTTCAGTTTAAAACATAATATGCTGCTTTTTCGATGAAGAGCACGTAAAGAAATATATAGTCAAGATTACTCTGATTTTAAGAATGAATACGGTAAAAGTGTAAAGATATACATTTGACCCCAGGACTCCGTGAATAAGATTTTTTTGTCATGGATTAATATGTCAATCTGAGCTTTTGAGAGGCTTTATGAGGTTAACAGTAAGACTTAAAGCATTGCAAGCACATATTTTCCCTGTAATATTCAATACGTTTTTTTCTGTCTTTTATGTCAAGCTTGGCAACCAGTATTCCTGTCTGATAAAAAACACAGACTCTTTAAATAATGTGTGAATTCTATAGCAAACTCTTTCTGGTATCTGTCATTACCAGATGACACTTTAACACTAGTTTTCCTGCGTTCATCCTTCTTAATTTCCGGCTATCAATTCCCAATAAGACGCCAAAAAGCAATACCTTAAAACCTGATTATTTCGAATTTCTCGGCAACAAATCAACATTGAAAAAAAATCTAGACGCATTTTTATGTGTTGAGGGTATAGGATTACTTGAGTTCAATTGATCAATTGAAGACAAAAAAGAAGTCACTACCATGTCTTGTGAGGAACCTTACCGAATTAGAGCTGGTCTACGGAAATAGTTCAATTGGTGATCGATTTTTTAAAAATACTACATAAAAACCTTCTATTATTAAAAAGAAGAAACGGTCTGTAAAAGAGTACACGTATACAAAAAAATACTATTAAATCCTCTGATAAACTCGCTTGATAAGATATAGTCTGGAGGAATTAGACAATATTGAGATTTTTATAAAAATAAAGAAAGTATAAAACGTTCTGTTGGTACATTGGATAGAAAGGAGTTCAGTGAGAGTAAGGATATTTTTTGACTTCTTAAAAACATAATGTAACCGATATAGTCACGGTAAATGACAAATAAGACGACAATTCAGTAACATCAATAAAAACTACTATAATATTTAAACTTTTAATATTCATTGTTTTTAGGAACTCTGGCTCATCATAGCATTGGTAATATGAATCGTATAGGATACACTTTTGATCTATTTTTGATGCAGCCCTTTGCTTGATAGAAGAAATGGAACAGAACGTTAATTTACTGAGTTTCTCATCAGCAGTATCGCTTTTACCCTCTCTATAACGGTGGTGTCTTCGTCCGCCACTGACGATTTAATGAGGACATTTATACGGTATTAATAGCCAGTCAATGTTTCCGTCCGAATTGACCCCTTTGCATGTTTAGTTGTAACATGTTGTATGAAATGTCTTATGTGATACAATTTTTAATGGAATTTTAAGATTTTCTGCTTCATTACATATTTTCAGATTCATTTTTTGAAATGTAATTAATTTCATAATTTTTATTTCAGTTGATCTATTTTGGTTTGAAAATAAGAAATAGAAAGTCACAAGAGAACAAGAAAATATCTAATATAGAAAAAAATTTGTTAATATTTAACTTTATACGAAGCAGATACACATAAATCGATCACATGATACGAAAACATAATATACCATATTAAATCTATATATTGTGAGATGTTTTCGTAAACATAATATGCACGAGTACAAATGCATTCAGATCGTCAATAAGTTACCCTTTTGTCAATAGAACAAAACAATAAGTCCACAAAACCTTAGACCAAAAGGTTAATGCTCTCATACTTTAGAACATGATCCAGTTTAGAATGCCAGCAAAACATTTGGTTACATAAGCAATCTCCTCACGTGAACAGATATAAATCGACCAAATTTATTGGTAAGTAATAAATTTTTCCAACACAGGAAACCAGTAAAAGGGATATTGACAAAACCTAATGAACATAAGTAATGGCAATGAAATCAAGGACTGATATCGTTTTCGTTGATAATTGAAGAGCTTTAATAAAGAGTTGCTGTTCCTGCATTAGTGGAGGTCCCCATTTATCCAAGTAAAATTTCCATTTTGTTGAGGGAAAGAAAAAAAAAATCAATTACTAATGAAGAAAACGATTGCATGTTAAAATGCTGGGATCCTAATCAAAGCAGATGTCATCTACCTATGAATTACAACAAATATTGATTTAATGTATAACTGTCTTGGGACTTCTTCTTGTCTCATTAAATTCGCTGTATCGGAATGGATTTCGTGAAAATTCCATGTTTACACCATTTAGACGACCATTTGCTTCGCACTGGAAAAAAGTACGAGTTATATGCAATATTCTCAAAGAAGATGGTCGTGGTAAAAAAGGTCCCATTTTTGTATAATTGTCTGCCCTGTATTGTCATTACTTTATTCTGATAGTATTTAATAGATTGCTAATTTTAGGCCACTTTTATTGTCATTTAAAAAAAACAGTTGTATATTTTCAACAAAACTAAGTAAGTGCTAACAAATCAAATGCTTTTATATGTGAGGTACAAATATTCTCATACTTGCAATTGCTTTCAAACTTATGCAAATGGAAGAAAAATATTTTATGAAAATAAATTCTATGCTTTTAATGAATTGGCATGTATGTTGTAACAGTAAATGGCTATCCTCCGTACACAAACGCTTTTATAAATACATAATTAACAGACATATCTTCTAAGCGCTCATGTAATGCCGACTTCAAATTGATTCATAAAGCAATCAGCGTTCACGGTCCTATAAGGAGTGGGGCGAGATTTATACTGGGTAAATAAGATTACTCTATCCCCCCTCTACATCGTAATAAGGGACGACAAATACCAATTTGACGCCTTACAAAAGGAA